CTTAGCAAACTCAATACCCAAAAAACAAATAATCCAGTTAAGAAATGGGCAGAAGACATGAACAGACTTTTTAAAGAAGACATCCAGATGCCTAACAGACACAGGAAAAGATGCTCAACATTACTCATCGTCAGGGAAATGTAAATCAAAACCATGATGAGATACCATTTCACTCTTGCCAGAATGGCAAAAATTAACAATACAAGAAACAACAAGTGTTGGTGAAGATGTGGAGAAAGGGAAATCCTCTTGCACTGATGGTGGGAATGCAAACTGGTACAGCCACTCTGAAGAACAGTATGGAGATTCCTTAAAAAGTTAAAAATAAAACTACCCTATGATTCAGCAATTATACTACTAGGTATTTACCCGAAGGATATAAAAACACAGATTTGAAGGAGTAAATGCACCCCGATGTTTATAGCAGCATTATCAACAATAGCAAAGCTATGGAGAGGGCCCAAATATCCACTGATTGATGAATGGATAAAGGAGATGTGGTGTGTGTGTATATCTATGTATGTACACATGCACACACACACACACACACACACACACACACACACACCATGGAATATTACTCAGCCATCAAAAAGAATGAAATCTTGCCATTTGCAAGGACGTTGATGGAGCTAGAGTGTATTATGCTAAGCGAAATACGTCAAAGACAAATACCATATGATTTCACTCATATGTCGAATTTATTTATTTATTTATTTATTTATTTAATTTAGTTCTGAGAGAGAGAGAGAGAGACAGTGTGAACAGGGGATGGTCAGAAGAAGAGGGAAACACGGAATCTGAAACAGGCTCCAGGCTCTGAGCTGGCTGTCAGCAGAGCCCGACGTGGGGCTCGAACCCATGAACCATGAGATCATGACCTGGGCTGAAGTCAGACGCTTAACCGACTGAGCTACCCAGGTGCCCCTCATATATCGAATTTAAGAAACAAATGGATGAAGATGGAAGGGTAGATAAAAGAGAAATGGAAACAAACCATGGAGGAAGGTGGGTGAGGGTTGGAGACTAGATGGGTGATGGGCATTAAGGAGGGCACTTGTTATGATGAATACTGGGTGTTTTAAGTGAGAAATTACTCCCAAATCCAATTTTGCACTGTATGTTAACTAACTAGAATTCAAATAAAAAATTGAGGGATCCCTGGGTGGTTCAGTTGATTGAGCGTCTGACTTCAGCTCAGGTCATGATCTCATGGTTTGTGGGTTCGAGCCCCAAGTTGGGCTCTGTGCTGACAAACAGCTCACAGCCTGGAGCCTGCTTCAGATTTTCTATCCCCTCTCTCTCTCTGCCCTTCTCCTGCTCATGCTCTGCCTCTTGCTGTCTCTCAAAAATAATGTTAAAAAAAATTTTTTTAATGGAAAAAGGAAACAAAAGAAAAAAGGCCTTATTTACTGCAATGAACTAATGTATAAAGTACCAGTGATTTTAGTGTTCCTACACTGCATATATGGAATATTCTAATCCAATATGAAGGTTTATTGAAGTAAGTTGCCTCAAAAAAAAAAAAAAAAAGATCTGTGCATGCCATCTTTCTCACATTCATTGCTCTCCATCATTCAGGTGTTTCTTCCATTGAACACCTGTCTAGTTTACTGAGGTGTAAGGAGACAGACTGTGGTACTTGTACTTTTCAGGAAGTATATAAGTTATGAGTAGTTCATTGTTTGCTTTGGAGAAGGAATATGTTCATAGATGCCAGTTTCAAAACCATTTCACTCTTTTATTGCATTCTTGGGTTTTTCCTTTTCCTTATCAAACATCTGTGCAACATCCACATAAGTAGGTTAGGAATACATCCAATGGAACCTTCTGAAATAGAGCCAGGAAATAGATCTCACTAAATCATAGCAAAGGGTGGGTGGTCAAGTACCACAACACTACAACATAAACACACATGCAGACACACATGCACACATGAATGAAATCTTACATTTGAAAGACAGCAGGTGCCAGTCAAAAAGTATGCTTGACAAAAACACTGAAAAATACATACTAAACTTTAGATTAAAATAACAGGGATTAGCTGTGCACTTTATATAATGTATTCATAGCTTTAAGACTTTGTAAGCTGCCTAGTTTTTCAAACACCAACTTTTCAATTAAAAGGGTGCTTGCTTCTAATGGAAGGATGCATTATAATAAATCAGATGAGATTTTTGCACTCTTATCCAGAATGATTTTATGCTCAAAGCTCAGTGACACTGAAAAAACTAGTATTTTGAAAATATTTTTGGCATTAAAAGAAGAGTAGAATTTGCCTTAAAATAGTCCTTTTTGATGCAAAAAGCAAATAATTAGGAGAAACAAACAAGAAAAAGGAAACAAAAGCCCCAAAATGAGTAAAACTTTAGATTTTACTGAAGGAACTGCAGCTTTATACTTCATTTTACCAAAACTACACAGGCATTCTCTGTTCTGTAGAATGACTGGATTAGGCTGCCAAGTTAGCCTGAATTTTATTTGTAGTTTTCATTGCTATGATTCAGCAATGCCCACTGCTACTAAATAATCAAGATATGGTAAAAATAAGCCATATTATGGTTCCACTTCTTGAGAGCATAGCCCCTGGCATATACAATTTACACAAAGAGAAATACTGGAATGAATTTGAACTTTTTTATGCTTGAAAACTAAAGCATATTCAATGTCAATAGGGGCAATTGACAATGTTCTTAACCAAATTAACCAGATTCTATGAATTCCTTCTGGTCAGTTGTCAAATATTTGGGGGAGGAATCCACACTTGAAGTCCAACTGAAGAATAAGGGATAAGCTATCAGGAACATATTTTGGAAATGTAGTAGTCACAGTACTTCCTGCCAGAGAACTTCACAAGGCAATTTAGAAATGCTAAAAATTTACTTTCATTAGGAAAAACTCATTTAATATGTAAATTATATGTTTTCCCCACGTTTGACAAAATGTACCAAACTTAAAGTTGATCTGTAGAGGAGAGTAGATGTTCTTTTTGGTCATTATTTATGAAACAAACAGTAATATAAACCTGACTGAACCACACATCACAGTTAAGAGTAATGAAGTCCTGATTAAACATCTGGATCTCTTTAATAGCAACTTCAATATAGTCATCAGTAACCACAGAACTTTGGAATATTAGAATAAGAATGTATGATCCCAAGCAAAGTTTTGACGAACACCTCTAGCTCCATTCAATGTTTGGAGTTGGGAATTCAAATAATAGAGAATGAGCCGAAAAAGCACTGACATTCCAGCACCTGTAGCTCATTAACTGAATCCACTTGGGCAAGGAATTGCACCTTTTGGAACTCAGGTTTCTTATACTTGAAGCAGGGATACTACTACTCATGTGGCCCCATTCACACAGGATTGTAGCACCAAAGCCAACAGCAGTGCAGCAGTAGTAAAAGAGAAAGTAATAATGTGGCTTTCATTTTCTGGGTGCTTATGCTGTCCCCATGGACTAAAAACAACATAGTGAGATAAGCATGCCATCGTTTTGTACACAAGGAAGCTGAGGCTCAGAGAGCAGAATTTGCACAAGGTTCTATGTGTGCTGCTGGCAGAATCCAAGTGTGAACACAAAATACTCTGACTCTGGAGGTCAAGATCTGGTTCACACCTCAAATGCATTCCCATGTGTCATCTAATGAGGTAATGCTACTGACTGTACATTATAAATGGCAAAGCACCACAGTAATGCAATGTGTTATTACTGCCATTTTTTAAGTTGCTAAAATGTATTTTCTGCTGAGTATATAATACTATTCTCAGCAAGAGCCCATTAATTCAGGAAACTAAGGAAAAAGCGTGAATGAATATGCAACTTGTCACCCAAAACATGGAAACTAACTTTAAAATAGAGGTGACAGTTGGTGGTGTCATTTCGTACATTTGTGCATTCACACATATCCACACAAAGTCCCAACCCACAGACATCAAGTATCTCTCAAGATGCCAATGGAAGTTGCTGGAATCATTAAAAAGCCAGGAGATTTGTTGTGTATGGGTCATGGCTCCTCAAGCCCATACTGATAACCTGGCAGGCTGCTTATAGGAGATTATTAGAGACATAGGACAAGCATGTTAGGCTGCAAATAGTCTGTGGCCAAGCCTCCCAGGGATAACAAAGGGCAGCAAGTTAGCAAAGCTGAACCTTTAGCTTCCTTGTTGGCAGCCAAAAACAATTACAGTGAACTGGAAAAGTAAAAAAGCCATATCAACCATCTCCACACTGTCCTAATTTTTCTAAGCACTTAAAACAGACAAAAGATTCCATTTACCAAGGACAGGTAAACGAATTTATAGTTAAATTTACATGCTATTTACTTGTAAACACTATTTTCCTAGAAATAGGTTCAGTCCTGAGTGAAAAAGAAAAAAACAGAAAAAAGTGACCTTTATACTTCTCCTCTACATTTCTGCTTGTCTGAATTGTCCTCATTCTCTAGGGCCTCCACATGTTATACTTAGCTGATTCCATCACAGGCAGCAAGGACCCAAATGTTTATGACCACTCCCACTCTCCCTTTACTGTGTCACTGCTCTTTGTTTCTTCCAGAAGAGATGAAATAAGACCTGAAGGCCAGAATGTACAGGTATGTGGATTACACACTGCATGATCTCAAGTGGTACTTTCACACCATTCCCTTCTCAGAAGTGATCTCACCTTCATCCTGGATATGTGCTGTGCACAATCTATACAGCCATACTCAGCAGACCTATATACAGATCCAAAATCAGAACAGGCATAAAGAATTTTATTCATTCATCTGTTCATTCACTTAACTCAATAAATACTTATTGTATCTAGCATGTGCCAGACACTGATGGGTCCTGGGCAAATACGAGTAAACAATAACGTAAAATTCCTGCCCTCAAGGAACTCACAGTCTAGACATGTCAACAATAGTAACATTACAGAGTAAAGCATGCTAACCATGGGACAGGAGGGAATTCTTATGCAGTCCTGGCATGAGGGAAAGAAAGGAAGGCCTTACCGCATTTGGGTTGACCTTATGTCGAAAGCATGTGATGTTCACCACATATGGCCAATCATCAGGCTCCATCAGCACCCCAGCAGCATGAGCACATGTGACATGGAAGGAGGCTGGGCAGCGGCCGTAGGAACACTGGATGCAGGCTCCAGAGACCTTCTTAACTCGGTGTCTGCAGAAGATGCATTTCTGCATGGTGAAAATGAAGAAGAACATCAATTCAAACTCTGTAACTCAGCTTATTTCCACACTTCACAGAGTAATAGCTATTAGAGATGCAGAAAACTGATTACATCAACAAGTCCTGACCCTCCAGGGGCCCTAGTGATGAGAGCAACTGTGACAATATAAGTCATGTACTTCTAATGAAATGCACTGCTATGGTCACGTACTACCAAACGGATGCTGAAATACTTGTGGTCGGGAATACTTTTGCATATGCTTCTTCAGGCAAAGTGAGGAAAAGCCCCCAGGGTGCTCCTATAAATCACCCATGAATGTTTAAGTTGCTTCCCTTTTACCTCCTGCATGGCAGGACTTTTAGTACATCAAGAGATGGAATATGGGTTTGGAAGACAGTACCTACTCTCCTAAATTAGATGAGGTCTTCAGAAATACCCAAAATACCACACAGATAGTCTAAGTTTTCTATTTACAAGGAACTGTAAAGTGTTAAATGGTCCAATGTGGAAAGTAGGGGCTCAAGTTCTTAATAATACACATCTGAACCCTTCATGACTAACACAAAAATATGCTTCCCAAAGTCAGAAAATTGAAAATCACCCAAAGGGCATGATTTTGTTGAGTATCCATCCACTATGCCTGGTGAAGAGAGAATGAAAGTAAAAACAGCAATAATGATTACCACCATCTAAAAATTGAATCACATACAGTTAGCCCTAGACATTATCAGTATATTTATTATGAAAGATGAGAAAAATCAAACAGCTTCACTATATGTACAATTAGTAAATACTTGAGGATTAGAAAAAAGTGGTTGTAGAATAAGGTTCAGAAAGCAGAAGAAACAGAATGTTCAAAAAGCTTGACTTTTCATTCCTATGGATAAAAAGGTTCTGCAATCAGATCAAATACTGGTGCAGCTGCTCTTTTATAGGAACATTTTCCTTCCTGGGACAGGAAAGGCACTTAAACTCAATGCCTTTTGGGGATCGTAATATTTTATCACAGATCTGTAAGAATCAATGTGCGTTTAACTTCTAACTCTTCTTTGCCTTCACATCCAATCAGCTACTTCAGTCTTATAGATTCTGGACCTTAATCTTGCTCTGATCTCTGCCTACCCATCTATACCAACTGCCACTAACTCTGCTCATGGTATCCAGCATAGTAGTGTCTTTTATTTCACTCCATTTCAATGTACTTTCCCCAGAAAGATGCCAGAGTGATCTCTTTACAACATAAATCCAAGGTCAGCCCCTGCTTAAATGTTCTTCAGTGGCTTCTCCTTATCTCCAAAACAGTCCAGAAAAAAAGGAGCAGCATGAGATGGAAGAGGAAACCTTAGAAAAGACGCTTGTGGTCCATCTGAGCAATCTTATTTCTCACTAGTCCCCATGGGAGCTCTCCACTCCAGGCATATACCTAATCTCCCTATACATCTGGATTCAATATACACTTAAGCATTTTTAAAGTGGGGGTTAAGGATGTGGTTTAGTTGATTAAGAAACTACACACAAACATACAGAACTAAAACAAGATCCATTATAATTTGAATAGCATTACTTAATATCTTGATGTCTCAGCAATTCTTGTTACCAGTTTCAATACATTCTTGGTAATTCTTGGTATTTTGGTATCATTTTTTAATGTTTATTTATTTTTGAGAGAGAGAGAGCAAGAGAGAGAGAGAGCACAAGAAGGGGAGGGACAAAGAGAGACAGGGAGACAAAGAATCTGAAGCAGGCTCTAGGCTCTGAGCAGTCAGCACAGAGACCAATGCAGGGCTCAAAATCATGAACGAGATCATGACCTAAGCTGAACTTGGATGCTTAACAAACTGAGCCACCCAGGCGCCCTGGTATTTTGGTATCTTTTTGCCAATTCCAATCTTTTGAAATGTGTTGGAAGATATAATAGCAAAAACTCCTATCAGGAGCTCCAGGCATAATCAGGCAATCTTTTAAGAGCCTAATCATACTACCTAGATGGCAGCATTTGAATAAGTTCAGATATTGATAGATATGAAAGGAGAAACTATATCCTAATTATACAGGATTTTTTTTAAAGTAGGAAAAAGTATTATGATTTAGATAATTAATGAATTGGTAACACCAGCCTCTTCCATCATTACCTTCCTTATTAAACAAGGACTTTACAAAAAAGGTGAAAGAGGGGCACATGGGTGGCTCAGTCACTTGACTGTATGACTCTCAATTTCAGCTCAGGTCTCAATCCCAGGGTCATAGGATCAAGCCCCACATTGGACTCTGTACTGAGCATGGAGTCTGCCTGTGATTCTCTCTCTCCCTCTGCTCCTCCAATCACTTGCACACAGGTGCATGCAATCTCTCTCTCTCTCTCTCTCTCAAAAGATATTTTAGGGGCACCTGGGTGGCTCAGTCAGTTGAGCGTCAAACTTGAGATCAGGTCATGATCTTACAGTTCATGAGTTTGAGCCCTGCATCGGGCTCTTTGCTGTCAATGTGGAGCATGCTTTGGATTCTCTGTCTCCCTCGCTTTCTCTGCCCCTCCCGTGCACTGTCTCTCTCTTTTGAAAACAAAAACAAACAAAACAAAAAAGAAACCCCCCCTTTTTTTTTAAAGGCAAAAGAAACAGAGATGATACACTTAAGTCCAGTGAGGATTCAATCCTTAGAATCCAGTAAGAGAATGGCCCTCTTTTCTCTCAGAGGCTGTCATCTCTAAGGATACAACCTTATCCTTTGCAAAATCAATCTAACCTCAGACTATTATAATTGATATATAAATATAAATTATAATTATAAACATCAAACAGGTTCTTGAGGAGACAGAGAAATCCATAAAACCAAGTAGAGGAACCATTCTGTATCTTATAGTACAACCTATGTTATATTTCCAAACTCCATTTTCACTTGCTGGCTACTAAACCAGTTATTCTGTACCCTGGCTAAAACATCTGTGGCAATCTGACACCTACACATGTCTTGGCTCCTTGACTTGATAATTTAGCAGGGGAAAGACAAGGACAAATAGATACTTACTAAGAATGTTACAATGGAATAAGCTCTATTAAGGAAGTAGAGACAAAATGCTGTATGGAACCAGAATGACTGTGCAATGAGTTATGCTTGGAGGCAAGACAGGGAAGAAGGCCTACAGGAAACACATTGCTGATTGAATCAAGATAGTGGAGTCAGCCTGCATTACAACCTTCCCAGCTCCAACTCCTAAGTAAAGAGAAAGGAAAAAGAGTGAAACCATAAGAGTACTGACTATCAAGAAAAGGTGCAACTAACCCAGGGAGAAAATCCCCAGTAAATAGCTGTTGGTAGATATCTGCGAGAAGCCAGTTCTCGTAAGGCCAGTGCCAAGAGTAGAAGCAAACACCTAAAAGACAAGCTACACACTGTCAGACCAGCCCATGGCCCATCCTGCCCCAATTATTATCAGCAGATGAGGTCATCCTATCTGATCTGAATCTGAGTCCTGTGATCTGACTCATCATTCACCAATAAGACAAGAAGATTCTCATTTGGGCTGAAAAAAGAAACGATGTGCAACCAAAATATACAATCAGACACTTTAAAAATCAAAAACACTTGAGGGAAAACAAAAATAAAATGAGAGCTGCTATGATTATTACCAAATAGAAGAATATCTGACCCAAGGAGTCAGGTAAGGAGAAGCAGGAGATGACTTTAAAAGAGGTACAGTACATATTATGATACAGATTCCAAAATATATCCCATCAATTAAAAAAAAAAGTAACAACTATATAGCTCTAACAAGTCCAAAATATCATTGTAAAAAGAATCAAGACTGAATGCTTAGGTGGTTCAGTCGGTTAAGTGTCCAATTCTTGACTTCAAATCAGGTCAGGATCTCACAGTTTATGAGTTCAAGCCCCACACTGGGCTCCACACTGACAGCACAGAGCATGCTTGGGATTCTCTATCTCCCACCTCTCTGTGCTCCTCCCCTGCTCATGCTCTCTCTCTCTCTCTCAAAATAAGTAAACATTGAAAAACAAAGAATCAAGATGTACTGAATATTGGATTGCATCCCACTGAAGATCAAATTAGCAAACTGGAAGATGGAACCTGTAGAACAGGGAAGAAAATATCAAAATAACGGAAATAGAACACAAATGCTAAGCAATTTGGTAAAGAGATCCAGATAATTCTTTCCAAAAGGCATTCTAGAGGAATAAAAAAAGAGAAAAAAACAGAAATTTTCCCAGACCTTAAAAAAAGTGCAAAACAGGTAATATTAAGTAAAAAAAAATCACCTAAGCAGATCTTAGACCTCGAAATAAAAAGAGAAAATCCCAAAATCTTCGAGAAAAGAGAAAGATAAGACTAATTTCAGACCCTCCAACTTGTAAAAGTGAATGTTAAGAGACAATGAAATAATGTCTTTGGTTTCTGAAAGAAAATTAAATTTGGTCTATATTCAGCCTAATTATCATTCAAATATGAGGACAAACATAAGGAATTTTTCCTTTTCTTTTTCATAAACAAGGAACCGAAGTGTGAAGTGAAGAACAACCAAAATGCTAAATATGCTTATTCATGTAGATAAGTCTACATGAATATTGACTTTATACACAAGAATAGTAATGTCTTTTGAGTTTCTAATATAGAGAGAATATGAACAGATGACAATTAAAGTGTATAAGAAAGAAGCAGTAAAAGAGATGCTTGAAATATTCTAAGGTTCTTGAGTTGTCTGGGACAAGGATAAAAGTACCAACAAACTAACAGTGTGAAAAACAAAACAGAGTAAGGAAAAATAATAAATTCAAACAAAGGCATGAGAGGAAAGAAACTGAAGCAGCACAAACAGGAGTAAAGGGAAAGCACACTGTAAGTTGCTAGAACTAAACTCAAATATGCCAGTATGTTATATGTAAACAGACTAAACTTTATAGACTAGGGGTAGCAAACTTTTTCTTAAGTGCCAGATAATAAATATTTTAGGGTTGTGTGGTATATAGTCCCAATTGCAACCACTCAACTCTGCCA